CATCTCAACAAGTCTTGTTGTTATGCTATGCTTTGATGGCTATCTAATATCTATGGATGCAGTTTTTTTTTTTTTTTTTTTTTTTTAAATGTAGATATTGATATGTCTGCTGAAGATCAGTCTGACAGCGCTATTAGAGACCGTCTGCGTTCGTGGGGTGGATATCGCGACCAGTATGGTTCTACTTTTGAACATCGTGTCCTGGCTGTAGTGGTTATGAGAGACTTGGCTCTTGAGGCCGAGGTCAGTGGTTCGAATCTGTGCTTGTGCACGGAGGAGGGCCGTGAGACCAGATGTATGTCCCTATACTTGCTTACATCTGTGTTGCAGCGGACAATGAAAAGCAGAGGAGAGAAACATTTTATTGGAAGAGATTGTGGACGCATCGATTCTGTGAATCCTTTGTCGGGAGTATTAATTGAAACAACACATCTAAGATTCTAAGTGCTTCGGGACATCTGTTAAAATTAGAACACAATACAGAGAACATCAGCATCGACTCTGCACAAGGATGGATGACATGCATTAATCGAGAAACCGTCCGCCCCCCAATGCCGACCCACCCACGCCCCTCCCCCGCCTCCAAAAAAAAAAAAAAAAAAAAAAATTTTTTTTTTTAATTTGTTTTTGCTTTTTTTTTTTTTTTTTTTTTTTTTTTTTTTTTGTTTCCAGGTTGGTTCCATAGAAGGTAGGGTGGCTGTTCAGCATCTGGACGATTCTCACGCGTCGAAGAACTTCACATTCAAGTGCCACAGAGACCAGAACGACATCTATGCGGTGAATTCCATCAACTTCCATCCTGTAAGTCTGACTATCGATCTGTCCTTGTGTTCCTTAACCATACCCCCTATGCCCCACCCTACCGTCTTCACCGGAGTAGAACGCCTGGTAATAATGGGCCGTATCTGGACTGGAATTTGCACCGAATACAGATACCGGGCACTCCATTCGGGTGAAGACGGAGAAGACAAGGAGGTTACGCGAGTAAACTTCAATCATTTCTAGATGACCTGTTGCGGCTTCGCTCGCAAAAACAAACGCGACAGGTGATGCAGTTAAAAGGTGGAGGCAACCGACGGATGCAAA